GGAGCATACCTATTCAAGTCACCACAGTAGCTTTCCATAGCTTTAGGACTCTCTAAAATCTATGGACACTAACAGTATCTCAACTTTCCAGCTATTTTCTTCACCTTGACTTTTCTAAAAGTTTATCTAATATTGATTCCACCTAGCTTCACCCACCTACTTCCTGTCCACTCCTAATATTAGGAACTAAAATCCAAGTATATACATAATGCTATCCTTGTCTGTTTATCCTTCAATGGTTACCAGAGTCAAAGGGAATACTGTTGTAGTGTGGCATTTTCATAGTGGCATATCCAGCAGCTGTGGTTGCTCCCATGGGTACTAGTTTACTCTGGGAGTAATATAGTGCCTACACTAGACACCAAGAGCTTCATGAAGACATAACCTCTGAACTCTGCACTTAACTCTACTGCAACCTACCCGACTTGAACATTGAAAATACTTCATCTGAAAGACTACAGTTGAGTTGTTGGAGAGATGGCTCAGTGGTGAAGAGATCCAGTTGCTCTTTCAGAGGACCTGAGTCTGGTTCCCACTACCCACATGGTGGTTTATAACCACTCATAACTCCAGTTTCAGGGGATCCAACTCTCTCTTCTGGTCTATGAGGGAATCAGGCATGCATGTGGTATGCATACATACATTTGGGCAAACACTCATAGGCCTAATAAAAATACAACTGGTTTTGAAATCCAAACAAAATAACACCAGATTTATAAATCTCAACCTAGTGATATAAAAACATGAGAAGCCAAGATAACATAACTCCTTCAAAAATCACTAATCTAACAGTAATGGCCTTCAATGAGAATTGATTAGAAAAAAAATCCCAAATGACTCAAGAGAATGCTCATAAATATGTTCAGAGAAATCAAAGAGAACACATCACAGAAAGAGAAAGCTTAATGGGAAAAAAGAAAGTCAACACAAGATATAAGAATGAATTCAGGGCTGGAGAGATAGCTCAGTGGCTAAGAACACTGGCTGGTCTTCCAGAGGTCCTGAGTTTAATTCCCAGAAACCACATGATGGCTCACAATCATCTGTAATGAGATCTTGTGTCCTCTTCTGGCCTGCAGGGATACATTCAAGAACACTGTATACATAATAAATAAATAAATATTTAAAAAGGAAATGAATTCAAAGAGATAGAAGTACCGAGGAAAAGTCAAACTGAAATACTGGAGATGAAAAACATAGTTACTCAAATAAAAGAAAGCATTGTGGAAAGCCTTGCCAATGGGACAGATTAGGGAGAAGACAAAGTATCTTAGCTTTAAGACAAGGTGGAGAAATTTGAATATTCCAACAAGATCAAAGATAAATTAGTAAGAAGGCACCAATGGGCTTTCAAGACATTCAGGATTCTATTTTTAAGAAAATACATGATGCATGGGTAGAAGACTAATCTCATTCCATCCCAGAACTGATAGTGGTTAGAGCTGATTCTTGCAAGGTGCCTCCTGACCTCCACATGCATAGTGTGATACACACACACACACACACACACACACACACACACACACACACACAGAGAGAGAGAGAGAGAGAGAGAGAGAGAGAGAGAGAGAGAGAGAGAGAGATCAAATGAATGCAATGAGAACTTAAGAGCTAAAGGAAGAGGTTGAGTACTGTGGAACTCTCTTTCAGGCATGTTCTAGTTTGCTATCTGTTGCTATGATAAAACACTGACCAAATCCAACTTGGGGGGAGAGAAAGATTTATTTTACTCATAGGTTACAGTCCATCATCAAAGCCTTTGATTAAAGAGAAGCCAAAGTGGGAATTCAAGCAGGAGCCTGGAATCAGCAACTACAGCAGAGACCATAGAAGAATGCTGCTTACTGGCTTGCTTCCTCTGACTTGCTCATCTTTCTTATACAGCCCATATCCATATGCTTATGGATGGCTCGTTCCCCAGTGCCATCTTACATCAATTAGCAATTAAGGAAATGCCCCCCAAACATGGCCAAAGATCATCTGATCATCATGGGACCCGGATACTAATTGCTGAAGCATGCCGGGGTCTTTCATGTAGGAAACCTAGTCCTTGGCAACTACCCCTGCCCCCAAGATGATCTCAGCTCATGCTTAAGTAGCCAATGAAATACCTGTTGCTATGCTGATACTTATGTAACCATTAAAACTCTATAAATATTGTACTCCCTACAAGCCTGGTATGCTCTGCACCCGAGTTGCAGTAGCATCCGAAGGCGCCTGTGTACTCAATAAATCACCTCTTGCATTTGCAGCCAGTGGTCTGGCCCCGGTTCTTGGGCAGAGGGTTCGGTTCAGTGCCCGGCGCTTTGATGCCGAGGTTTTTCATGATAAAGGCAATTCTTTAAAGGCCCCTCTTCCTAATTGCCTCTAGGTTGTATGTTCAATTGACAACCGTGGCCAACTATGGCAAGACATGACATGACCATGAACTCACAACTATGATTACTTGCACAAGACCTGAATAAGATTGGTTCAATCAACATTCCTTCATGGAGTTGGGAGTTTCACAAAGTCCCACCTCTTCCTAGGAATCTATGGACAATTGGTAGTTGTTGAAGGAGGGAACATGTCTTCTTCAGTGGAATAGCCACTGGTTAGCTGCCCATGCACAGATACCCCGAATGGCTACATAGTACAGGCCAGTCTTGAATGGTGGTCTGCTTCAAGTGTGTGCCACCATACTTGGCTTTAGTCAACATGTCCCTTTTGGTCCTGCTTACGAATAAAGAGAAATGATGTTCTGGACAACCTGATGGATAACCTGTGGAGAGCTTCCTACAAAACATGACCTGCTCCTGTATGACTCAGTTCTTCTGAATCTGATTCATGGCGCCTCCCAGCCAACTTCAGCCTTGCTCTGTAGTAATGAAGTCATAACAACCAGCATCCATAACCAAGTATCCCCCAGACTGCACTGAAGGCCATCGACAGTCTCTCAGACCAAACTGTAGCATGCTCTCTTGTTGGACCGCCTTTGGACTGCCAGCCTGCTCATGATGACCCAGAGACTCAATATTAATTATGAAAGCTTGGCCTTAGTTGAGGCTTTTTCCCAACTAGCTCTTATACGCTGATCTACATTCCTTTTATAGACAGGAAGAAACAAAATTGGCCAATAATTATATGGAAAAAGGTACAGCATCTTCAACCCTCAGGGAAATGCAGATCAAAGTACATCAAGAGCCAGCAAGATGGTTACAAGATGAAAGCACTGCCTTGCTAGCTTGATCCCCAGACATACTGCAGAGGAAAGGAATAGACACTGGCATTTGTGTGCGTACATATGCACACACACCACATACGTTAAGTAGTAATAAATAAGACAATTTCTACAAAGAAAAACACCTACACTGAGATTCCCTCTCACCCAAGTCAAAATGGCTGCCACCAAGAAAACAATTAAAACCCCAAGGAATGCTAGCAAACCTGGGGTGGAGGGGTGACCGCATGCTGTTGGTGGGAGCATAAATCAATACAGATTCTGGAAGTTAGTACAGAGGTTCCTCCAAAGAAATTCAGGCTGGATGTGATGATGCACGCCTTTAATTCTGGTACACAGGAGGCAGAGGCAGGTGGATCTCTGAGTTCGAGGCCAGCCTGGTCTATAGAGCAGCTTCCAGGACAGCCAGGGCTACACAGAGAAACCCTGCCTTGAAAAGAAATAAGAAAGGTATTGCTTAAGTGTATGGCAATGCTCACTGTGGAATGTGACATTTCTAAAGCACAGGTGTGCATGGCTAGATTAACACAAACTGGTGTAGCTCACTTGTTAGTGGTGTTGTGGAGAAGTATGAATTCTTACTTACGGCCGGAGTAAACAGAAATTAATGTAGTGGAATGACTCAATAACACAAAAACTGCAGCTGGAGATATGCACTACATACTTGGATGATAAGTGAATATGATATAGTGGAATAGTATATTGAAATGAAAATGATGGGATTGTACTGTAGTTATTTATAAACAGAGAAATCAAGAGACAGAAAGTATGATCTATGAATAATTATACAATTTCTAAAGATACTTCTTTTCTATAGTGTTTACTGATGTACAGAACAATGGATTTCATTTTAACATCTTCATACATGCATATAACAAACTTGTATCATATTCACCTTCCAGATTATACAAACATGCTAGAGCATGTCCACAGGCTGGGGAAACTCCCAGACATTTCGAGTCAGGAGTAAGAGCAGATAAAACTAGAAGCCCAGCAGGCACAAAAATCCCACTTTTCAGTCAGTTCAATATTTAAGAAAATCAAATTGACCAGTATCCGCTGAACTGACTGACTGGGGTGTGAGTGGTGGGGGTGGGGAGGGGAGCATGTTCTCTCTAGACAATAAAATCACTCAGAGCCTGAAATTGCCCCTACAATTTCTATCTATGATACCTAGAACCTAATCAAGTTAATCAGCAAATGGGGGGACTACTAGAGCGTATTAACGTACAAAATAATGGGTTTTGTTATGGAATTTCCATAGTTGCATGTAATGGAAAAAATTACTGACCAAAATCCTAGAGGAAAACCAAGCATCAAACAGAAACGCGCTCCAGCTCTGTTATCGAGGGTATCAATATGGACCTTAATTCTCTACAACTGGGCCAGTGAGATGGCTCAGCAGGTAAAGGCACTTGGTACCAAACCTGCCCCAAACACCTGAGTTTGCTGTCTGGCACCCACGTGGTGGAGGGAGAGAACCAACTCCAGAAAGTTATCCTCTGACCACCACACCACGGCACATGTGCGCATGAACAAAAACACCGATTAAAAACATTAGCGTCACTGCGATTCATATGTAGAGGAACGGCAAGCCAAGACAGAGGATCTAGGTCGAAGGTCAGACGAGACTTTGGAAGACTAAGAAGTCTAGAGTGGCAGAAAGCCCAGTGTCAGGCATAAGAACCCTCCTTTCCGTGTTGTTTGTTCCCAGACAATACAGGTGTTGCTGTTGCCCTGGGCGCCTCTCGAGTGTTGAAGGTAAATCCCTCTCGCTAAGGAAACCGCGAGCGCTGGACACAGAGGGCTTGAGCTGGACCTGACCTGAAAGCTGCCTTCCTTCAGTCTGGCTTCCGTAGTACTGGAGGTGCTGTAGGAAGGGAAGCAACCATAGTCTTACCTAGCTGTGAGGCTTGGGTACCGCCACAGTGAGCAGCAGGGTGGGGAACCCGGAACGCACAGCTGTGGTGCTTTTATCTAGATGGTAACCGACAGCTGTTTAATTGGGTTTAAGGCCCTCTCAACAGGAGGGAAGTCACGTCTGGTAATGGACGCGTAGCCAACTTCCTTGAGATAGTGAAGCCATGGATCTTAGAGGAAGACCTACAACCAACACTATCGCAGGCTTTCTTTTGGGCCACCAACTCATGACAAGGGACTTATTATTATTAGTTATGAATGTTCAACCTTATCTCATCTCTTGTTTTAATCTGTTTCTCTTTACGTTTTCGCCTCAGAGCTTTTTAGCCCCCCTCCCCTTTTCTCTCTCTATATATTTTACTTTCTTGTTCCCTCCATGGTTGGCTGGCTGGCCTCTGGCCCCAGACATTGTCCTCTCCTTCTTCCTTCTCTGTCTTCTCTCTCCTACTTATTCTCTCTGCCTGCCAATCCCACTTATCCCTTTACTGCTTAGCTATTGACCCTTCAGCTCTTTATTAGACCAACCAGGTGCCTTAGGCGTGCCAGGTGAAACAGATGCAACACATCTTTACATAATTAAACAAATGTAACACATCTTTACATCGTTAAAGTACTATTCCACAACACAGCACTTCACTAAATCAGCTTGATGCCTAACTGCATTGTAAATACTTCTTATACCCACAGATGAGTGTAGCTCTCACCCTTTATCAAAGAGGATTCTCTGCAGTAGAGTTAGACCACAACAGAAAGCTACATCTGAGCCAGGCATTGGTGGCGCACACCTTTAATCCCAGCACTTGGGAGGCAGAGGCAGGCGGATCTCTGTGAGTTCGAGGCCAGCCTGGTCTACAGAGTGAGTTCCAGGACAGTCTACAAAACAATACAGAGAAACCCTGTCTCGAAAAACCAAAAAAAAAAAAAAAGCTACATCTGGTCAAAATGCACACAACAACTGAGCATGGGGTCCCCAGCCCCAGTGGGTAGACATATAACACAGTCCCAAACCTAAGGCTCAAGGAATATTGAAGAAGAAAGAGTAGAGGATCAGGAAGTCTGCTGTGAGGTTGTGTCTTCTAGAAATGACAGGGAAGCCACTCTCAAGATACTGTAAGGACATGGCTGTATGAATAAGACCTAAATAATAACACCACCAAGGGACCTTCTAACATAGACGAAGCAAATCTCAGGAAGCCCCACTTCTAGACAAAGAACTATAGGCAATGACTGCTAAGAGAAGGAGAATTAGTCTTTCCCAGAGAGATGGCCCCTAGTTGGTTATCCAATGCTAAGTGGTCAGCCCTGGAATCAGATGCATGCTAGCAATACTAAACAGACTCAGCGGGTCTTAGTTATGTACTTATGTGTGTATATATATATATATATTTATAAATATGTATATAGATGCATAATATGTATGTAATAACATAAGCTATGCAAACTTGACAGCCTGAGTTTGATCCCCAAAACAATATATGTAACAATATGTATACACTAGCAATAACATACATATAATTAAAGAAAAATCTCTGAATTTGAAAGAGATCAAGGGGGAGATACAGGAGGGATTGGAGGAAGGAAGGGATAAATAATGTAATTATATTTTAATTACAAAAAAGTAAAGCCAGGTGTGGTGGTGCATGCTTTTGATTCCAGCATTCATGAGGCAGAGATAAACAGATCTCTGTGAGTTCAAGGCTAGTCTGGTTTATAGAGTTAATTATGGGATAGCAAGGGCCTCATAGAGCTCTTGTCTCAAAAAAAATCTTTGCAAAAAATTAAAATAATAGGAAGTCAGGAGATTCAAATAAACTTTTTCTGAAATTAAGAATTCCATGGAGCCAGGAATGGTGGTTGGTGCACACCTTTAATCCTAGCACTCGGGGCAGTAGAGACAGGCAGATCTCTGAGTTCAAGGCCAGCCTGGTCTACAGAGCGAGTTCCAGGACAGCCAGAACTACATAATGAAACCCCGGTTTGAAAAAAAAACAAAACAAGAAGAATTCAATGGATTGGCCTAACAGTAAATTAGATGAAGCTGTGGCCTGAAGATAAGCCAAGAAAAACTAGTCCAGAGTGAAAAGCAGAGGAACAGGAACTATAAATTCACAAGATAATATGAGGAATATGCAGGAGACTGCATGAAGGTACACTATCAAACTATAATTGCAATCTAGAACAGCAGGGGAAGAGCACCGAGGGAAGAGATGCTGACCCAAGGGCTTCCAAAACAGACAGAGGGTTCAACGAGGGCTTACACGTCCTCCCAAGATAGCGGGAAGCAAAGCACAATAACAACAGTTGGCATACAAAATCAAAACCTGAAAAAAGTAAGCTATATTTTTCAGGGATGTGGAGGAATATGGGAGCAGTACAACTTTTAATCTATTTGTTTTTATTTTTAATATTTTACTGAGAGAGAGAGAGAGAGAGAGAGATTTGGAAGTCTGTTCTCGCCTTCTGCCATGGTTTCTAGGGATCAATTACAGGTCATCAAGTTAGCTCAGCAAAAGCTTTTCCCTTTGACTCACCTTATTGGCCCCACGAAAATGTCGTAAAGAGCGAGGAATTAGGATTAAAACCTCAAGGTGTCTATCATTTCTAGAGAGAATGATGTGTTGTGGTCAGGAATAGAGACAGAGGTATCTGTGGTAATGGTAGGGTGGGGTGCCTTAATCTGAGTGGTGGTCCCCTGACTATCCCCTTATTCATTAAACTGTGTGTAGGTTGTGTGCACATTTCTGCATAGACTTACATCATGTAGAAACAGGGCAAGGCAATGCTTCACAAGTCATGCTGTCCAGAGTATCCTCAGTGACTGAGGAAATATTTCAATCCTGTAGAGTTTGATAGCATTTTTATAGTGTTATTTGATTTGTAGAAGCTTCTCCCCAGAACTGAGGACTATCCACTCCTTGCAGATCATACAAAGAGAGAAATTTAACCAAAGCCTGCATTTTCAAAATTAAAAGAACAGTTGGTGGGAGAAAAAAAAAACCTACCCGTTAATTGCAGAAACAGCACCACATGCTGTGGATAACAGATAATATTTTGTAGTGTGTGGGTGAAATTTTTTGACTGCTTTGACACTCAAATCTGTTCACTTCAGTGTCTTCCTAAGAGCCATTTATTTTAGAACATCAAAACAGATTCTGAACTACATTGTTGCTGTTCTTAGTTGATCATGCTTAGTTTCCCTATTCTTTCCCAAACCATTTTACATACACACACACCAACCTTGGAATGACAATATGTTGGTAGAGTGTTTGCTAGGTTCAATCCCCAGTGCAGCATAGAGCACTCATGGGTGACACATGCCTATAACCCCAGCACTTGGGAGGTGAAAGAAGGAGGATCACAAATTCAAGGTCACTTTTGGCTGCATAGCAAGTCTGAAGCAAGTCTGGGATACTTAAGACCATATCTCAAACAAACTTGTATAGTAACCATCAGGCTCCACATCTAAACATCCCGTCTAAACCTGTGCTACAGTGGGTCATGATGTGATGACTATCTTTTAATTTCATCTCTAAATCTGATCTCGTTCCAAGCCAGCCCAGGCTCTTACGAGCTGCCCAAGTCTAAGTTTGTCCAGTACATGTAGCTTGGTGATGCCATCATGCCATCCTCTTGTTTTCTACTTTAGCTGGGGCAGACTTCTGATGATATATATATATATATATATATATATATATATATATATATATATATCTTGAGATCTCAAAAATAAGCTGCTCATAGTTTCCTCCTGCCCACAAATGACCATGCAACTGTAATTTCATGATACAAACTAGTAACTTCTATGAGCTCCCTCACTTCCCCAGCCCAAATTTCTGCTCTCACCAGGAAGAATATCCTCAGGCAGCCACCTACCATCTGCTTAGTTTATTTTTGTTATTTTGTTTGTGGGGTGTGTGTGTGTGTGTGTGTGTGTGTGTGTGTGTGTGTGTGCAATTTTGCACCAGTTCACAAGACAAAACGCTTCCTTGAGACTGAACCATCTGTGACCTCCTAAGTGTACGTAAAAGGGGTTTCTTCTGTCTTTTGTAAAAATGAGATTGCTAAGAAATTATAGCGTTTTTCATGGTCTTATTTAGTTCTCCATATAGTATGGTGAACCATTTTTGAACTGTTACTATTTTGTGGATTCTAAAAGGCTGGGAACCACACTTTCTAAATCATTTTGGTTTTTTCTTTCTTTCCTTCTTCTTCTTCTTCTTCTTCTTCTTCTTCTTCTTCTTCTTCTTCTTCTTCTTCTTCTTCTTCTTCTTCTTCTTCTTCTTTCTGTCTTAAGTCTTAATCATCCACATGGGATTTTCTGGTTCTTGGTCAAATTTTAGAAGATCAATTATTTTGACATTGACTCAACAATCTCTGGTTTAGGGCTTGTTATAAACTTGTTCTGCCCTATCTTTAATGGGTGATGACTCAATAAGATGCCATTATCTCTACCCTATGAGCTATCCCCAGTAGCTCACCACACCACTGTGTCCACATCACATAACCGGAGTGGCCAGTCCCAGTGAATAGGGACACACCATACCTAGAACTGTGACAGCAAATATCATCATTGTTTCTGTTCCAGAGAAACATCCATTGTTCCAGAAAAGCAGTTTCCCACAACTTCAAGCCAGAAATCCACCTATCACCCACATCAGGAGGACAACAGGAACAATAAAGATTACAAAAGGCACCACTCAGATGCTGTCTTGCAGCTGCTATACAGCTCTTGATGTTTGTGCCTCCTCTTCAAGTTGGACAGTTAGAGGAAGGGCTGTGCTTTCTTCAGCATGTGTTACCCAGGTAAGTACGGACCAAAATAATAGAACACTACAGAATTCTAAGTGACATCCATGTTCAGAAGCCAGACTAATCTCTATACCCTTGCTGTTTGGGTACCTGTGTCACTGAAGTGAGCACTCTAGATCTCTTCTTAATCTGGGTTTGGGTTTTTGGGTGGAATCATAGGATATTGCAACCAACCAGCATGGACTGACATCCTCTTTAACCAATGCTTTACCTTGGTGTATACAGTCATTCCCCTCTTTGTATATTATACTTTGAATCTAAAATCCCAACCCCCCCACATTGTGTTTAAGTGTTTGCTCCCCAACTAGTGCTGCTGTCTTAGATGCTTTGAAAACTTTAGGGGGTTGTGTCTAGCTGACAGAGCCGGTTACTGTGCTGAGACTTTAAAGGAAACACCCACCAGTTCCTATGGTGGACAGCTGTCATCCACTATACACACTCTCTGCTGTGATGTTCTACCCAAGCATGTAGGGCTGAGAAACTAATAGATGATCCGTCTGAAATGGTAAGAACAAACACATCTTCTCTCACTTGCGTTGTTCTGATCAAGGAAGTGTGAAAGTAACTCACAGGCCCTACAATTCTCTTCAATGAGCAGGTGTTGGGGACAAAAAAAAACAATAATAGTAGGCAAATGAACACACATGGCCTTGTTTTTCTCCCCTGATTGTTCCTGTTACTTCCCTTGACACTTGCATTTCCCAGAACAAGGAGCCCTAAGTGTGGGCCTCTTATCCAGACACTCAGCTCTTTTCTTCATTTCCACTCATCCTTTCTGGAAACTTCTGTCTTCAGAATGTAATTACGAATCTGTGCTGATGACTTTCAACACATGAGGTCTGAGAACTTAAAATACTGCTCTTCCAACAGTCTCGCAGTCATCTGTACTAGAATGACCCACCATCAGCTCAAACTTTCCAGCCTCCACACTGAACTCATTTTCTCCTCCACCAAACCAGCTGACCCTAGCAAATTCCTCGTTTCCATCCAGCACTTTCCTGGCGATCAAAACCTCATTGTTCTTTCAGCCTTTTTCTCTTTCATCTTCTAGACCCAATTGCTCCTGAAGCACTCCCATCCATTTCTCAAGACAGATGAAACTTTAGGCAGCAGGTACATGGGGAACCACTGACAGCAGCAGGGGCATCACAGGGATATGGTTAGCTTTATTTTGAATATAGGTCTGATTGCGATGTTTACAGTAGACTGGAATAAGAAGTAGGCACTCAGCTACATCTTCAAAGTCTGAGGAATACCAGTTTGGTTCTAAGGCCTGACAATAGCTATGAGATCTTCAGACAAATAATTTGCTCTCTCTGTGCTCTGTGAAGTCTGCCCACCCTACAGGAAATATTAGCACTTCCCTTTCCCCATTACCACCCACAGCTCATTTCAAACCCCATCTTCCAACTGCTGTATTGTCACTAGCAGAGTTCCTGACTTCTAATTCCTGTGTCCTGTATCACAAACCGTCTTGCATCCAAGGAAATACAGCCAACCATATCACTGTGATACACCCACAGCTCTCAAAGGCTCCCTACATACCTACTGGTTAATGTACATGTTTGGGCATATGACACTAAGAATCATTGAGTCTGGGCCGGCAAGATGGCCCAGAGACTGGGTAGAGATGCTTGCCATGCAAGCCCAAGGACTGGAGTTCAATCCCCAGGACACACATAAAGGTAGAAAGGGGTAGCTGACCTCACAAGGCTGTCCCCTGCCCTCCATGGGCATGCAATGGCACATGTGAGGTGTCACCGCATGCTGTAGACACATTAATTATCTTTTGTTGTTATTAGACACATTTATAAAATAGCAGTCACTGAAGAGTAACAACAAATTGCTAACTTTTTAAATGTTAATATACTGTCATATTGAACTCAAACTTTAATAAATGAAGTTTTGTAAATGCCACTGAAATCTAATCTATGATCTCATTCTTTCCCTTTTGCACAAGAGGTGCCCATTTAAGTGGCATTAGTCTTAAAACTTTATTCATAAATATGACATAGACACTATTTTTTTTTGGTTTTAGGAGACAGGGTTTCTCTGTAGTGGAGGCTGCCGGTCCAGCCTGGCCTCGAACTCACAGAGATCTGCCTGCCTCTGCCTCCCGAGTGCTAGGATTAAAGGCATGTGCCACCACCGCCAGGCTCATAGACACTATTTTTTTTCAATTATATATCTATAATCTCAGCACTCAGTAGACTAAGACAGGAGAATCAGGATTTCAAGGCAAGTCTTGGCTACATCAAGATTGCAAGGAGTTGGTTCTTTGAGAAAATCAACAAGATAGACAAACCTTTATCCAAACTAACTAAAAGGCAGAGAGAGAATATCTAAATTAACAAAATCAGAAACAAAAAGGGGGACAGAACAACAGACACCAAGGAAATCCAAAGAATCATTAGGTCATACTTTAAAGATCTGTACTCTACACAATTGGAAAATCTAAAGAAATGGATAACTTTCTCAATAGATACCACTTACCAAAGTTAAGTCAAGATCAGTTAAATAATTTAAATATACCTATATCTCCTAAGACAATAGAAGCAGTCATGAACCCCCACCAAAAAAAAACTCAGGGCAGACAGTTTTTGTTGTTTTTTGAGACAGGGTTTCTCTGTGGTTTTGGAGGCTGTCCTGGAACTAGCTCTTGTAGACCAGACTGATCTCGAACTCACAGAGATCCACCTGCGTCTGCCTCTTGAGTGGTGGGATTAAAGGCATGCGCCACCAACACCTGGCCAGAGCAGACAGCTTTAGTACAAAATTCTACCATATTTTCAAATAAGAGCTAACACTAATACTACTAAAATTATTCCATAAAGTGGAAACAGAAGGAGCATTGCCCAATTCATTTTATGAGGCCACAGTCACCCTGATACCCAGACAACACAAAGATTCAACAAAGAAGAATTACACACCAATATGCCTCATGAACATTGATGAAAAAGTACTCAATAAAATACAAACTAAGTCCAAGAACACATCAAAAAGACCACCTACCATGATCAAGTAGGCTTCATCCCAGAGATGCAAGGATGGTTCAATATACAAAAATCAATAAATATAATCCACCATATAAACAAACTGAAAGAAAAGAATCATATGATCATCTCATTAGATACTGAAAAAGCCTTTGACAAAATCTAACACCTTCATGATAAAAGTCTTGGAGAGATCAGGGATACAAGAAACATAACTAAAGATAATAAAGGCAATATTTATTAACTTTAACAGCTAACTTCAAACTAAATGGAGAGAAACTCAAAGCAATTCCACTAAAATCAGGGGCAAGACAAGGCTGTCTACTCTCTACATATCTATTAAACATAGCACTTGGAATTCTAGCTAGAAAAATAAGACAACTAAAGGATATTAAGGAGATATAAATTAGAAATGAAGGAGTCAAAGTATTATTATTTGCAAATGATATGATAGTATACATAAGTGACCCCAAAAATTCTGCCAGGGAACTCCTACAGCTGATAAACACCTTTAGTCAAGTGGCTTGATACAATATTAACTAAAAAAATCAATAGCCCTTCTATACACAAGTGACAAATGGACTGAGAAATAATTCAGAGAAACAGCACCCTTTATAATAGCCTCAAATAATATATAATATCTTGGGGTAACTAGCCAAGCAAGTGAAAGACCTGTAAGACAAGAACTTAAAGTCTTTGAAGAAAAAAATTGGAGAAGATATCAGAATATGGAAAGATAGTCCATGCTCATGGATAGGTAGGATTAACATAGTAAAAATGACCTTACTACCAAAAGCAATCTACAGATTCAGTGCAACCCCCATTAAAATACCAACACAATTCTTTACAGATCTTGAAACAACAATACTCAACTTCATGTGGAAAAAAAACTCAGGACAGCCAAAACAATCCTGTACAATAAAAGAACTTCCAGAGGTATCACTATCCCAGATTTCAAGCTCTACTACAGGGCTATATGAAAAAAACTGCATGATATTGACATAAAAAAGACAGGTGGATCAATGAAATCAAATAGAAGACCCAGATACAAATTCACACACTTAGGTACACATGATTTTTTATAAAGAAGCCAGAAATAGACACTAGAAAAAGGACAGCATCCTCAACAAATGGTGCTGTTCTTACTGGATGTTGGCATGTAGAAGAATGCAAATTGAGCCATATCTATCACCCTGCACAAAACTCAAGTCCAAGTGAATCAACAACCTCAACATAAAACCAGATACATTGAACCTGATAGAAAAGGAAGTGGGGAATAGACTTGAATGGATCAGCTTGGGAGATAGCTTCCTGAACAGAATACTGATAGCACAGGCACTGGGAACAACAATCAATAGATGGGAACTCATGAAACTGAAAGCCTCTGTAAGGCAAAGGACACCATGAATGGGACAAAATGGCAACCTACAGAATGAAAAAAAATTTTCACCAATTCCACATCTGACAGAGAGCTAACATCCAAATGTATATAAAGAACTCAAGAAACTAGACATCAACAAACCAAATAATCCGCTATAAAAAAAATGGGGTAAAGATCGAAACAACACTCAAACAGAGAAATCTCAAATGGCTAAGAAACTTTTAAAGAAATGTTCAACTTGCTTAGTCATCAGAGAAATGCAAATTATAATGACTTTAAAATTCCATCTTACCGCCGAGCGGTGGTGGCACACGCCTTTAATCCCAGCACTCGGGAGGCAGAGGCAGGCGGATCTCTGTGAGTTCGAGGCCAGGCTGGACCAACAGCCTCCAAAACAATACAGAGAAACCCCGTCTCGTAAAAAACGAACGATTCCATCTTACACCTGTCAGAATGACTAAGTGACAACTCATGCTATCTAAGATGTGGAGAAAAGGGAACACTTCTCCATTGCTGGTGGAAGTGAAAACTTGTATACCGACTATGAAAATCGGTATGGCAGTTCCTCAGAAAATTGGGAGTTGATCTACCTCTAGACCCAGCTGTACCACTCTAGGGCATATACCCAAAGGACACTTAATCCTACCACAAGGACACTTGCTCAACAATTTTCATTACAGCTTTATTCATAAGAGCCAGAAACTAGAAAAAAACCTAGATGGTCCCCAAACAAAGAATGAATAAAGAAAATGTGGTACATTTACACAATGGAGTATTACTCAGCTGTTAAAAACAATGACATCGTGAGGTTTGTAAACAAATGAGTGGAACTAGAAAAACAATCATCCTGAGTAAGGTATCCCAGACCCAGAAAGACAAACATGGTATATTCTCACTTATAAGGACATTAGCTGTTAAATAAAGGATAATCATGCTACAATTCATAGACCCAGAGAGGCTAATTAACAAGGAAGGCTCAGGGGGAACACATGGATCTCCCTGGGAAGGAGAAATAGAATAGATCTTGTGGGTGGAGTGGGAGTGGGAACAGGAGGGATCAGGTGGGGATGGGAGGGACAGAGGGAGAGAATGCCAGGAGAGATGACTGGAATGGAATAGCAGGGGACACTTAGGGGATGATGTAGAAACATAGGGATGTGGAAACTCCCTGGACTCTATAGAGTGACTCTAGTGAAGTCTCCTAGTAATGAGGGATATGGAGACCAAAAGAGCCATCTTCTATAACCCAGCAAGGTTCCTAGCAGTGGGCCTGGGACACAGTCGCAAAACCTTTGACCTACAATCTGTCCTGCCTACAAGATGTCCTGGGGTGATGATGGTGCAGAACATGTGGGTGTGACCAATGAATGACTGGTCCTACTTGAGGTCCATGCCACAAAAGGGAGCCCACAGTTGACACTGCCTAGATGGTCAGCAACCACAGGCAGGATATCCCAGAGACCAGGATAGAATCAAACAAAACTGAGATGGATGGATGGATGGATGGATGGATGGATGGATGGATGGATGGATGGATGGATGGATAGATAGATTGATCCGTAGGTAGATAGATAGATAGATAGATAGATAGATAGATAGATAGATAGAGTCAATGAAATGATTCCTAATGATATTCTACCATATTCGTAGATCAGTGTGTAGCCCAATTGTCACCAGAATGGTGTCACTCAGCAATAGATGGGAGCAGATGCAGAGACCCACAGCCAAACACTGGGCGGATCAGGGGAACCCCAAAGAAGAAGGGAAGGCAGAATAAACAGAAGCCAGAGGGGTCGAGGACACAGAACATGGCCACAGCGTAAACAAAGCAGAGCTGGTAGGGCTCACAGAGACTGAAGTGACAATCACAGAGCCTACAAGGGTCTGAGCTAGGTCCTCTCCATATTCTTCAGGGTTGTGTACCTTGGCGTTTTCGTAGTGTCCTACTCCTGACAGAGAGAGTGGTATCTCTGACTCTTCTGCCTAAACGTTGGAAGAAGAGTGGGTATGGGGGAGAGGAGAGGCTGGAGGAGGGACTGGGATGAAGGGAGGGAGGAAAAACTGCAGTCAGGGTGTAATGTACGAGAGAAAACTTAAAAATAATAAAAGATTTCAAGGCCAACCTGAACTCTGTAGGAGACCCTGTTTCAACAAGCCAAGGAAAAAATAAAAGGTCTTGCATATGAATGTTTATGTCATGTTTATTCATGCGCTATGTATTTTCAACTGACCATTAGATTTTTAAGCTCCATTCCACGTCAATCATGTGGTGGTATGGTTTTGTCTCCTTGCTGTTCCACAGGGTGCTATGGTACAATTCAACCTTCGTGCGTTTCTCCCCATGCTGACAAACATGTCAGGGGCTTCCATCTGTCTGCTGTCAGAAGCCGTGTAGCAGGAACATTCTCAAGGATGTAAGGCAGCCTGCTTTGGTAAATAAACCCACGTGTGGTCTGTGATTCCTACACAAGCTTCATCTGTGTTCTTCAGCTTTTAAATTTTCAAATAGTCTAATCACATCCGAGGCAATTTACAATGTTCCACAGTTGGTGTAGCGTATGAAGAAGAGGATTCCAGTACACTGGATACGAGACAGGAGGACTGTGAGTTCAAAGCCACTCTGAGCTTCACAGTAAGTTCCTATCTCAGAAGAAAAATCCAACCAGTCATGCACACACACTCAAAAGCTAGGCTTCCCAGTGCCAAGATAGTGGCCTTTTCCCAAACTCTACCAGTCTCAATAGACTGCTAACCAGAGTACCCCACGCTGTGCACCAGAATATCACAGGTAACGTGTAACAACTGTAGAGAAATGAGAAATCAGTGCACGCAGCTAGGTAAACATCTCTCAGCTCAGCCCAAAGGCTCTTTAATGTTCAATCAACCCCCAGTGAGTTAACACAACTGACACTTGCAGGATTGGGGGATCAAATGGTAAACGAGGCAGAGTCTGCTCCCTCCAGAGTGTGTGCTCAGATAAAGGAGGTAGGCAACAGCCAAGCCAATTGGCAAACACAAAACACACCACAGGGTGACACTTGTCATGCTGTCAAGATGGAGGGACGCTATAAGCAAAGCATTCCCTGCAACTGGACCATGGCAGGAGTGGCTGTCCAGAAAAACTGAAAAACCCAAGGAGGCTGCATCTAAGTTTGCGCCAACCACTGCAACGCCCTGCGCCTGCCGATGACTCAGATGAGATCCTGAGGCGTCTGGTGGTTAGTTGCAAAAATACAGCTGCTTTTACACTGATGGGAAAGCGGGGAGTGGAGGACAGATGATGCAGAAGGGTGGGAAATGAAAGGAGGCATCTTGGGGAAATGGGAGGAGATGATGGGAAGCAGGACACACAGCGGCTGGTCTTAGGGAGCGGTGGTGAATCACTCACCAGGGAGCAGGGCAGGAGGGACACAGCTGCTGTGGGCACTCGCACAGAGGAAGGACCACAGGGGAGCTGCAGCCCCTTGCTGCGTTCCCCTCAGAGAAGAGCCTTGCGGGGATTACTGCAGGGTGGGTGGGGGTGTTAGGGGGAAGGTTCGATAGTGGCAGCTTTGGAGAACAGCTGTGTAAGAGAATGACTACACAGTCTTGAGTCCCATTTTGGATTTGAGGCTCTGAAATGGTTGCGAAACCATTGTGGTTTCACATGGTACAACGTAGTATGGCTAATTTTTTTGTTTTCCAATGACTTCTTTATTTAATGACACTTTTGATCAGGCCTGAAAGTTTGTTTGTGCTGAGAAAGCCCTGTACCAGTGAGCTACACCCAAGCCAAGCTTCTTCAGCAGTTTCAGTAGATTGGGGACAGGCACAGAGTTTGCATGTGCTGGTGTATAAAGGAGAGGTGGAGGGACAGGGAGTTCGGCATGTTTGTAAGGAAGTTATTACACATGACATCTAAGTTGGGTCAGGAAGGAAATGAGAGCATGACCCTGATGACAGTGAGGATGTAATAAAGCCTGCAGTTCCAAACAAAAATATGAATAGGGGTATTGTTTGGGTTTTGTGGTTTTTATTGAACCTGACAACCTGATCCTAAAATTTACATGAAGACACCAAAAATCAAGACTACCCTGGGGGCTGGGGCCTTTACTCCATGGTATAGTGCTTGTCTTAAAAGGACCTAGTTCAAGGCCTTGACAAAAAGAAAGGAGAAAAAATATCAGGACCCAGGAAAGTGATGAAAAAACAGTCTTTGGGACTCAATAGCAGATACTGTGATTTATTTTTTTGAATATACTAATTAACACAACATAGCATTGATCATAGAGACAAATTCAACACTGGTCACCCCGACCTAAAAGAACACAACTGGCAAGAGAACATGAAATACCGGCACAAGGAACAGCAGATGTTGCAAGGAAGCTAGTAAAATAGGATGGCCATATTAAATGAAGGGAATTGATCATTAAGCCAGACCGTGACTACGGATCCATGACTTTAACATAAAAATCAAAGCTAATAAAATTTCATAAAAGAAAATTAAGACTATCTTTATGACAAGATGAAACGAGAAACAAAAGAAAAACCCCTAAAGGAGTAACTAATACATCTGAATATACTAAGACTAGGAATGCCTGTTCAAACAACAAAATAAAATGAGAGACAAGCCAAAAACTAGGAATGGGCATTTTTCAACATATAAAAAACAACAGAGGATTCTACTGAGAATATAAAGAACTGCAGATCTATTCAACCATCACACACAAGAACAAAAACAAAGATACACATAGACTTTCCCAGAACAAGAAATATGAATGATCCAGAAACATAAAAAGATCATGTTTGAATTCATTATTATTTGCAGTAATCAGAGCAGGGCAAATTAAAACAAAACCAAGTTAATTTTGTGCTTGTAGTTTGCAGCTGTTTTACGGCTTGGCAAGGAATGACTGACTGATGGAGGGGCTCTGAAGGGTAGAGAGCTCGCATGTACTACTGCTAGAACAGCCTAAGAGTACGCCTCAGAAAACCGCACGCTAGAACAGCCTAAGAGTACGCCTCAGAAAACCGCATGCCTCCTGGCTCCATTCACACCACATGAGTTGGCGACCATGAGGAAGCACGACAAAAATAAGTAAATAAATAAATAAAAACTGCTCAGTTACAAACATGAACCATTTCCAATGAGAAGGGAAGACTCTTGAGGACCATGGTGAACCATTCCAAAGATGCAACAGCGGGCAGCGTAAAAGACAGCTGCCAGTGCCCAGGCAGCTTCGGGATGGCACCACAAGGGTCTCCGTGTCCCACCCTCACTTGTACAGGACTGCTTCCTGCAGCCCTCAAATGTCCTCAGAACCACTGCTTCTCAGCGCACAGAGGACAAACCAACCTGTTTCTTTATCTCAAGGTCTCCACAGTAGAAGAAGTCAGAGTCCCTGCTGTTGGGAGGCTATGGCTTGAAGGCTGTGAGTTTGAGAAGCTTGGGTGAGGCACTAAGACCCTGCCTCTGGGAAAGAGAAAGTGGAGGGGGGGGAGAGAATGACTCAGGGTGTGGCATCCGAAGAATATAAATGGTGTCAGATATCAAGGTCCCGGGCTTTGACTCAATATTAAAATAAAAGGACAGCTTGGGGATCTTGGGAGAAACATGTAATTTTGTATGTAGGTTTGCGTCAGCTGTGGTGTCAAGAGGCCAGGCCATGGGCACAAGTCCAAGGTCACATCAATTCCTTCCCTACTCAAATATGCATACTGTTCTTGCCTCCAAAGGTGCAGTCTAATTTCCCTTCCCTTGAAAAGACGGCTTACTTCAAGTATGCGTGTATAGCAACAGGGGATGGGGAGGGGGGAAGTCCCATGGCACCTGAGGACAAGTCATGAAAAGACTGTAGATTCTATCCTAGAATGTGGGCTCAGACATGTCTTTCCAAGAGCCCATGAGAGAAGTGCAAACAGCTCCTCTGGGGAGGAGACCTGTGGAGGACCCTGCCAGACAGGGTGTGAATGGTAGCCCAGAGATGCCCTTAGGCTCTTCTAGTCTCCACTACGGTCCACATGAGAGATCCCCAAGACAGGACTGCCCGGCTGAGCACAGTTAACTCAAAGGTGCTGAGAACATCATAAAGTGATGTAAGGCACGGTGCTTCACATATAGTGTGTGTGTGTGTGTGTGTGTGTGTGTGTGTGTGTACACGTGCGCGCGCACATGCACGCACTAAAGCATATATTCAGAGGCCAGAGGACAACTGGGAGAGTCACTTTTCTCCTTCCGACATGTGAGTACCAGAGATCAAACTTGGGGACAAGAACCTTCACCCACTGAGTCATCTCACCAGCCCCATCATAGTGTTTAGTGACACACAGAAAAGACAGCATCCTGATTATTCTGTTCTATACATTCTCAAAGAAAAATCAGTTGTCTAAATCACAGATACTATGGCAATGTTTTTCTTTTATTTTTCTCCCATTTTGAAATTATATATATATGTATATATATATTATGCTGGAGTATTTCTTGTATTATGTACATATATTTTTCTCATGGTCTCTGAACCAACATGCTGGATAAGAACTCTACCCCTGAACAACAACCCAAGTCCATGTTTCTTCTTAAAAAAACATTTATTTATTTGCCTTTAATGCACATGGGTGCTTTCCCTGTAAGTGTGTAAGTGTACTATATGCATGCATTGCCCCTGAAAGTCAGAAGGCGTCATCAGATCCCCGAGAATTGGAGCTATAGATTGTTGTGAGCTGCTGCATGGAGGCTGGTAAGCGAAGCTGTCTTTCTGGCCCCCAGTCCATGATTCTTATCCAGTGCCTTCACTGCATAAACTGGTGTAGGAACTGGGTGTTGGAAGTGGCCCTAATTTAACTGCTCTGCTTTATAAAGGAAAGAGGGATTTGAAATGACTGGGAAATTGAGGAAAGAAAAGAACTGAGACCCAGCAACATTTAGGACCCAGCAGGAAAACTGAACAATACCCACAGTGGTGACACCACACACAGCAAAGAGATAACGTGATTCACAAGTCTGTAGGAGGCGAGCGTGAGTTGGGATGGGGAACAGAGAGACTTGGGCTATCACTGTTTGGTACTGTGAACTTCATTTTAGGTTTTTTGTTTTTTGTTTTTTTTTTTAAACGGGGTTTCTCTGTGTAGCTCTAGCTATCCTGGAACTCCATCTGTAGACCAGGCTGACCTCAAATTCACAGAGATCTGCCTGCCTCTGCCTCCCAAGTGCTGGGATTAAAAGTGTGCACCAACACCACCCAGATACTTTGGACTTTATAACTGTGCACTTAGGCTACATATATGTGTGCCTTGAAAATGTTTTCTCTCTGTCTGGGGACTGTCACTTCACTGTATTGATGGAGTTGTCTTCTGTGCACAAGTTTCATACATGTACATAATGGGTTTTAGTCTTTTCCATCCTCCCATTCCCTCCCTCACCCACCCACCCTTCTGGCTGAACACTTACTTCCCACTCCTTCTCTCATG